GCTGGCAGAATTGCTAAGGTGGTCGGAGTCAAGACTCAAGACGACGTGTGTCTTTTTTGTACACCTCGTCTTTGTGCCTGGGGGCTGTTTGTGCCGTGAGGGCTGAAGGGTGGGCAGATCGACGGGGGGAGCGTGTCTTTGAGCGGTGTTCTTGGACAATCAGTAAGCAGGTGGAAGCTCTAAATTGAAGTGACGTCGAGTTTGGGGGACAGGCTGTCTGTGTGTATCTTTGGAAAGGTGTAGGGGGCAGGGTCTGAGGGTTTGCGCGTACAATACAGTCTAGAGACGTGTGAAAAGGGGGGGATGGCTGGTTCTGGTGGTTTGGCTGAGATGGTGTGTCGCCGGGAGCTGGGCGTGGCTTGTTGCTGGATGCTGGATGCCGTTTGGTGAACCAGGACAGGCAAGTGATGATGGGCGGTGGTGCGTGTGGGGGAGAGGCAAATCGGGCCTGGTGTCGGTCGGTCGGCGGCGTCTGTTTGAGCGCCCGACAAGCCGTTTGGCTTCAGTGAGCGAAGCCCCGGTGTTGAATGGGGTACGTACTTGGTAGAGCGGCACAAGGGTGCTGTGGGATACAACAGTATCTGGGTCTTGAGTCGACAGGCGGTATTCGTATCTGTAGATAGCAGTGGGTTCTGTGAGAGAAGGACAGATTGAGTGCGTGATCGAGCGGCACAGCACAGGACTGCACTGCCTGTGGATGTGGATGTGATGCGGATGTGGACTGCCCGGGTTGTGGTGGGTGGATTGGTGATGTGTTGCAGTCGTCGGTCGTGGAGAAGAGTGCCGGGTGCTGAATCGCGATGATGTTCAGGAGGACGGATCGAAAGCGGACTCGGCCAAGTTGATGACTCTGGAAGGTGGTTCAGCGGTGGGCCGGCATGGCGCATTGATGGACGTGGGATCTACTCTACTGATGTTCGCTCCTGCTTGCTATTCTGTCTGTCTTGCCAGTCTTGCTCAGGTACTGCGTATTCCTGCCCTTTCCCCTCGCTCTTGCCCTCTCGTGTCGGTGGTTCCTGCCTGCCCCTGCACCTCCCATCCGTCTGGCCCTGCACTGCACTGCACTGCACCGCAGCACGCCCTCGACGATGGAGACGGGAATCTGTTCTGTGGAGAGAGGAGTGGAATGAACGACGCCAAAGTCTCTCCAAAAAGGCAAGACCGACTGGGCTGCCATCTGCGCGGGCTGGCGCGGAGGCTACGGCAGCGGCAGCCCCAGCAGGTCCCTAGCCCCAAGCTTGCAGAGCTCAGGGACTCACCGGCCAATCACGACCTGCCGTTAAGGCACCTTGGGGGCAGCGAGCCGGGATACGTACTGTCGGAAAACGACGCTAAATGCACTTGGAACCAGCTAGACCCCCGCTGAAGACGTCACCAGGAAGGAGCGAATGAGAAGACCGAACGAAATGCGGGGTAAGATCATCTCAGGAAAGAGCGACGTTTGGAACTTGAAGCCGCCTGCGTGCCCGGCCTATCCTATCCTGCCTTGCGTAAGGTAAGTTGGTAGACCATCACATATTGGCCGCAGCAGGAAGCGACGGAATGGAACGAGAAAGACGTCCTCCTGTTCCTCCTCTGCATGTCTTACTACGTAGATACCTTGGTATGTCTTTCCATGCCACATCCATTCAATCGGCCCTCTGGTCCTGATGTGTTGGGCAGTTAGGCAGGTGGGCAGCAGCAAGAGCAGCCCTCGCTCTTTCCTTGACGTTGCAGCTGGACTCTTGCCTTCTCTCTCTCCTCCTTCCCACCACAACAACGTTCTTTCCTTCCTCCTCCCACTTGGCTTCCCCTTCCACCCCCTGCCCCATGCCCGTCCCCTCGCCCCCCACCACCCCTGCTGCGTTGCGTTGCACCCGCCAATACCATCTCTCCCATCTCCTGTACGTACACTTTGCCTTGCCTGGCTTGCTGCCGCATCGATGCATCTCACTTGCTGCACCTGAAAGACATCCATCCACACGCCTGCACTGGATGCTCCCCTTCGTACCAAGTTCACCACGCAGACCGTCGCATTCGACGTATGCCAAACTCAATGCAGTCGCCCATCTGAGCACTTGAGCACTGCACGGCGAACAGACAAGCGTCCCATCTCGCGTGCCATCGCATGGCCGCTCTCGCCACTTTGCACCACCATGGGCCCATCCTCGAGCGACACCATCTGCTCATCTTTGGGCCACCTCAAACATCCCGAGCCTCGAAAAAGAACCTTGACCTCAGGCCGGATGAAAGCCAAGCGATAAACTCTTGTCATTGAGAGCTTCGCCTTCTCCACCAGCCAATCCCAGTCCCCCTTTACTCGACCTCAAACGAAACCCTCTTTTATTCGACGGTCTGGCTCAAGGCCCCGGGAGCCACTGGGCCCTCGTCGACCGCTTGATTCCTCTCCCAAGCTTTTCACAACCCTCGACTTCTCGACAGCGAATTTTGATTCCCATTGCCCTTTCTGACTAGCGCCCTCACACACTTCAACCTTGGTCTGTCACTCTTGTCCCCCTCAACGAACCGGATAGGTCGCCGTTCGTCCTCGCTGGTCACGCTGTGTTTGCTGTACCGACACCAGTGACAACTAGGTGCCTTAGCTCTTGATCTTGGAGCCATCTCTGAGTGACAGCGTAGCCTTGGCATGCAGATGGCCCCCTAAACATTGCTGCCCCAGATAGATAACTGTCCGTCAGCGACATGCACGCCGCGCCAATCGTTCTTTGTCTGTTGGCCCAGTATGAACAGAAGGCGCTACAGAACATCTCAGCATGCATGGTAGAGAGACATTGATGAACTCTCGCATCCCTCCTTCAGCCGCTGGAGCAGCCAAAGGGTTGAGGCCAGCAAAAGGTCCTTGTGCCCCTCCGGCCCCTTCATCAGACCAAAAGTAATCTCAAAACAGATTACCAATCGGCCAGATCAACTGGTCCACCAACGAGTCAATTGACTCCGTGAGCATTATGGGTACTTGTTTCTGTCGACGCAACTCCACGACTCGCCACAGAGTTTTTATGCTTCCTGGATACCACCTCGGAGACAATATGGCGGACGCTGGTGTGCCATTTAGTGTCCGACACCTCAGAACAGAGCCCATTTGTTACGAGTGTGACCCTCCCTCACCTTCATCTACAGACCAATCTGAAGGCATCCGACGCTGCCAAGTTTTGACTTGCCCAACCCTTTCTTCGACCTCTTCCCCGGACTATCCACCTTTCTACCTGACTCGTCACAAGGATCATCATCCATCACCATCCTCGGTGCGCTCGAGCTGTCGACCTTCCCCGCAAATTCCGGGTCTCCATAATGGCCCCATCTCACGACGGGGTCCTTGGCCAGATGCTTTCCCGGCCTGCCAGATTAGCCCTCCCGCTAGTAACACGACAACCGTGAACCGTTCCTTGGCCACGCAGATGGCTTGTCTGGGCGGACAGGCCAAGACTAGCTGGACTGTTTCTTGTCCCACGGAAGCCATGCGTTTCGCTGTGTCACAAGAAAGCTTAACAACCAAATGGCTTGGGCCACTGGCGCCAACCACGTTGACAAATGGCCACATTGCCATTTGTTCTCCCAGCGCACAGCGTGTCCCTCGGTTTCTTATCTTTCGTGTTGGTAGCAAGCAGTAGGCAGTTCTGCTGAACCATGGGACGCTCCTTCAATCCTTCCCGGAGCTCCGGCTCCGCGCCGCGGTGCAGGGCTGTCCAGTGGACCCTGAAGTCAGAGCCCGTCAGCACATGCGTACCCGTGGTCACGCGCCCTATGCCTTCTCGTTTCTAATGTTTCGTTACCCCGCGCTCTCTTCTCGGGCCCAAGACCAAGGTGGTGGTGGGTGAAGCCTCAGCGGGCTGCTTGGCTGCCAATCTGGAAGCTCCAGCTTTTCATCGAGCCAAAGTGAGCCAGCCTTCATCCCTTCCCCTGCCCGCAGCCCATAATGTGCCAGTGACGAAATGATTATCGCAGTGGATGATGTCGAGGCACGGCCCAAAGGAGCCGTCAGGATTGGGGGTGTCGGCAAGTACCACTCAAGTATTGTCTTGTAGGCATACATCGACGATGATGGAGAGAGTGCGGTCTTGCACCAATACTGGGAACCAGTCCCAAAGGAGCCAAGCTTGGGGCACTTGGCAGGGTTGCAGCACCTTCAGATGCCGGGCTCCCAGGCCAACTCTATTTCGATGATAAGGATGGACCAGACAGCGTTCAGCAGGCGGCTCCCTTCACTGTGTCTCTTGTCGGTGCTTGGTGTTTTGAATCGTGATGGGAATGAAGGGCGTATGTGATTGTCGATGATCTTGGCAGAGGGAAAGTGGCGTGTTGGATTGTGGTTCGTGACCTTTTTGTACAGCTGTTCCTTGCTGTCGCTGCCGCTCGACAAGGTGGCTCTCAAATGTCTTGGTCACTCACTTACAGCGCTCACCAACCAGAACTTAGAAGATGTCGGTTATCCAGTGCCTCGGGTTTATTAGGAATTGATGACCATATCTTGAGCCCTTCAACTCACCAATCTAAACCCCGACTGATTGCCACATTGAGATCCGTTCTCAAAGGAGCTCTTTTAGGATCTGGACAATACTGACTTGCTGTTGAAACTCTCCGGCTTCACGTAAGTCGTCTCCCATTCCGTGCAGAGCACAAGAAACATGAAGCCATCGACTGAACTTTGGTACTTTGACGAGCAACAAGGCCATCGCCATACGATATGGAGGAGTACACTTGCCTGACATACAACGCTGGAGGTGACATGAAACGCAAAATAACGGCAATGGAAACGAATACAGTACGTGAGCGATTATGGTCTTCACAGAATACGGAAAGGCTTGAAACCTCTGTACATTTCCGGGCTTTCACTTTTCTACTTCGTTCTCGCACAAAGCTGAAGGAACTGAAGAGTACGTGGGCCAATCATTGAAGCCGCGTCCGACCAACAGCATAAAATGGCCAATCCCCGACAAGAGCATGGGTAGTTTTTCTACTTGAAAAAGTGTGTTCAATCACACCGCCTCATCGTTGCCTAAATCATGCCTTGGCATAGTGTTGAAATTTTCCCAGCTAGCCTGATATTTGCCCAAGGCTCCTCGTTGTCCTCCAAGACACTTCTCTCCAACTTCTGGGTGTTCACAACATCATCTTTGCTTACGATCATGCGTCTTTTGAACGCAAGGACAATCGCAGTCGAGGACTTCTCTGCAAAGCAGGTTCCGCCTTATGCCATTCTTTCTCATACATGGGAAGATGGCGAAGTCACCCTGCAGGATATGGAGCGCCAGACGGCCAGCACGAAAGGTGGCTACGCCAAGATCCGAGACTCTTGCGAGCAGACTCTGCGGGATAATCTCGAATACATCTGGGTCGACACATGCTGCATCGACAAGACCAGCAGCGCAGAGCTTTCGGAAGCCATCAACGCCATGTTCCGGTGGTATCAGGACTCGACCATATGCTACGCCTTCTTATCCGATGTGCCTAGTGATACGGATTTCGATGAAAGCTCGGCATTCGCGAAGAGTCGGTGGTTCACACGCGGCTGGACACTTCAAGAGCTTCTGGCTCCTGCAAAGCTCGACTTCTACTCTAGATCTTGGGATCGTCTTGGCAGCAAGGCAGACCTTGGAAAGGCCATCAGCTTCATTGCAAGGATCGACGAAACATTTTTGAAAGGTCGACCCATTAGAGAAGCCTCAATAGCTGCGCGAATGTCATGGGCCGCGAGGAGGGAGACGTCCAGGGAAGAAGACCGGTCCTACAGCCTGCTTGGTCTTTTTGACGTCCATATCCCGCTACTGTATGGCGAAGGAGGCAAGAACGCTTTCTTTCGATTGCAAGAGGAACTTGTTCGGAAAAGCGACGACCAGTCGATACTTGCGTGGTATTCGTTCGATGAAGCTGCGGCGCCTGTTTCTTGGGACACGCAAATGAACAATCAGAACTCATCTGTACTCGCGGACTCCCCAGATCAATTCCGGAGTTGCGGCAATATTGTGACGTGCAATCCTGTCAAGGGGGTACTCCCATACATTCTAAGCAATGTGGGCATACAGATGAAGCTTCCCATCATCTTTCAGTACGAGGGCAAGTATCTGAAACGGCGAGCATACGCTGTTCTTTGGTGCCGTCCTGAAAATGACTACTGGAATATTTTCACTATTCCGGTGTTGATCGAAGGAGACCGGTGTGGCCGCGCATTCCCAGCGGTACGACTGTTCAACAGAAAGCAAGCCACATCACACTCACTCGATCACAAGCTGTACCTTGAAACTCGCCAGGATCACCAAGCTGTGGTCAGATCAAGATATCTCCGGGGCCGAAAGGCATCTGTGTTTATCTTGCGCTCTCTTCCATCAGGATATCGCGTGGAAAGTGTCAGCCCACCAGAGTTGTGGGAGGCATGGTCTTCCACGTCTGGCAGAATGACACAGTGGGCTAATGCCCCAAAAGGACTGATTCCAATCATCAAGATCACAGCTGACGACTCCATCAACGTGCCAATAAGAACACTGAGAATTGCAGTACGCACTGCGAAGCACGATGACGCACACATTGTTACAGCTTTTGGGTCCAGCATGCCTTTGAGTTTGAACTCATGGGGTGCTAGTGAGGATACGACTGAATGGCACTTTATTCCGTTGAAGCACCAAATGGGCAACCATGACAGGTCTTGCGGGGTTTGCATGCGTTTGCGTAAGGACACGCACTTTCAGCACGACATAGACACCTTGGATCTCAGGACGTGTGTTTACCCCTCGTCTTGGGAAAAGCTGGCTACTCGTTGGCACGACTTGTCAATCTCGAAGTCCCTGGTGGGGCTGGCTTTGTTTTTGGTTGTCTCGATTTGGCCATCATTGCACACTTTGATGGTTTTCCATCACACTATCAAACGGAAGGCCAACGAAACCAAATGGTTCTGGAACCGATATTCAATATCGACTGACGCCCCTCATATATTGTCCTACCTCTCTTTCGATTTTGACTCAACGACTTTCATGTTTATTATTACCGTCGTATCGCTATCAGCGCATGGGTTAGTTAGATTTCAGCCTTATCGTATAGTACCTTCCACTGAATTATCTTCGACTTATATCTCTTTTATACGTATTTGCTTCCTACTTGTACCTACACTGAATATCGTAAGAGAACCTTTTGAAATTTATTGTAACGTTGTATGGGGGATTGTTATCTCAGACTGGCGTAACAAAATTTTCAACATCCTGTTTTGGAGCCTCATGACATCCAAGTTGACCTGGCACAGTTGGCAACATCTGGTCCAGAGGTGGTGCTTTCCGCTGTTTAGAGTCTTAATCTCACTAGAGAGCGCCATGGACTGGATCAGGAGTTCAACTGCTGATGGGAGAATGATGGACCCAACTCTAAGTTACGACCTTTGGGAGGCGAGTAAAACACAACATATGCGGTATTGCCACAAATCCCAGGAAAATGCCTCAACTAAATAAAGGAAACCTTTTAGTCAACATGCGTTCCATTTCAGAGCGCATAATCAATGTGTATATTTGCTTTTGAACATCTAAGAAAGACCTCTGAGTTTCTAGAACTTTCTTCATTACTGCGCAAATACATGCTATTACAACTGGAATGTTTAGCGCCCTGATGCTTCGTCGTTAACAAAATACTCTCTGCATGTTCATTAGTCGTATAACCTACGAGTAGTCAGTGTCTGAAAAAGGGCACCGAGGGATTGAGTGCATGATGCGGCATGCCCGGTTCTCGTCGTCTGTTTTTGGCGATCAGCAAAGTCTTCGGCCGGAAGTAGAGCCATTTGATCTACCTTTGAATGTATTATTGTTGTCTTGGGACGTCGAAGAGGAACACTGAGCTGCGTTGTACACAGGCTAAGCTTCTTAGCTTAAGGCAGTCAAAATGTGACACTTTGGCCCAAACCCCCTCGGTGTACTTTATTGATATGATAAGCGTTTTCCTACAATAATCATGAGGATCGACACACTATCTGAAGACTTGACATAGGCTGCAAATACTATGACACGTACTTGAAGCAAGGTACTTAAAAACCACGACATAAACCGTTCTCCTCTGTAATGGAGCAGCCAGCTGAGCTGTTGATTCCTTTATACGACACTCAGCGTTGTCATATCGCGGCATCAGCTGCCAAAGCACCAAACTGTGCTAAAAATCAAATAGGCTGATTCCACACACAATGGGATAGCATCCTTACTCTTTAGAGGACTACTCACAAACAAATAGGAATGAAATCGTACTGAGGGTTGAACCGTTGAACCGGAATTTGATCTGCAATTGCAAGTATATGTTTGTTGAAGAACGGTACAGGATGGCAACCTTACTAAAGAATCCTGCAGCAATAACGAAGCTTTTGCAGTTTGCCTTTGCTCTTCGGGGAAGTCCTGTACGATGTCGTTGAAGTTATGTATATGGTCAAAGAATAGTCATGATCTCGTCATAGTATGGGGACAATTCGCTCGTCAAACTTTTCCGCGATTTCTCATGCAAATGAGACCGTGAAATCATCTGAGGGTGAGTATAATAACCAAAATATGCTTTCCAGTGCCTCTACCAGCTAGCACGAAAGTCACCGTTGCAGCGAGGTGGGCAACTGAAATGAGATACCGTTCGTGAAATGTTCACAAGGCACAATCTACGCTTACCCGCTGTACTTCAAAATGGTTTTGAAGAACAAAAAGTCAAACGATGCGGCGTGGTAGGATATATTGTAAATCATGAGGACGGAGACAATATTCATTCAGCATAAGAACCTGCCCTTGTACGGTTAGGGATATGAGCCTTCGAGATCTGTCGCTGAGCATCTTCCTTCAGGCTTCTTAGCAGTGTCTGAATGCCGTCTTTCATACGCACCATCTATTGAAGATCTATCTACGGGACACATGAGTTTGAACTTTTGAGACACATGCATTCTGTCGGCAAAGGGCCTGACACCTCAGGTAAGGCACAATAGCAGGGAGGATCAGAATGACACAGAAGCCCTTAGATGTACGCCGCCGTTACTTAGTTTTCAAACAGAAGCAAATGAATGCCGGTCGAATGAATTTGAACGGCAATCCTACTTGGACGTGATCGCATGGATCCATCGCGAGGTTTGAGTGCGTCTCGCGATTCACAACTCATAACGGCATGGCGAAACATACACAAATGCACTTGGTCGTGGTGTTCTGGTGTTTCGATTGCACGCAGTTTCTGAAAACATTGAAAATATCATCTCTGTTGCAAATTATCCACGGCGGCCGTTTCTTTGATTCACGTGGCTGTGTTTGATGACACGCTGTACACGCATGCAAGTTTCACCACATCAGACGATTAGAGGAAACATCTCTGATGGAGTGCTTCCACATGTGCAAATCCACAAAAACGAGGCTGTTTCTCAAGGCTTGGCGGCCTCCATCCAATGTTTCCAGGCACAATATGACTCGTCGATAGATACTGTCGTAAGCGCGTTGTTGGTTGTGCTTGAAAATGGCTAGAAAATGATGTTTCTATTTACGTTTATTTGCTTCATCTGATAAAAGTCCGCTGCATCTCGGAGGCGGCGATTGAGAACGCCGCTCGCCGTACGGGGCGCCGAATCTGGCGGCACCTGTCCAGGACAACCTCTCGAACCGCTGGCTTGAATTCCGAAGAATACCCTAGTGATTACTTTGTAGAATAAGCTGACCCTGGGAAAGAGCTTTGGCGGAGACGATTCAGTGACAGGTCTCTGATATATTGAGGAGTAACTCTGTACAGTGGACCTGTGCTGGGGCGTGCCGCCACTGCCGGACTCCGATGCTATCGCATCTGCCTCTGGGCACGATGAATTTTCTGGCATCATGAAGGACAGGAACTCGTTGTCGGTAAAATCATGACACCAAAGCTTACCAAGCGCGTCAAAGCTGGTAAGGCTGCTGCGGTCTACGTCCAGCAGGGAGATCCAAGGTAGTGAGACCATAGCCTGCCGCACACCCGACCGCGCGTCACCCCGACTGAGTACTGCGGGGTTTGACAAATAAGAGAGTTCAGTTTGATCCCCAAATTTGACTCGATTCAGTAAGACATTTATCGGACCCGAAATCAAGTCGTGCCAAAGAGCAGAGACGCAAGAGGTGGCTGAGCAGTGAACGTGCCGCCATGAGATCGGCGTCTTCTGGGAGAACTCGCTTAGCCCCCATTCACGGTATCGTGTGTCTGAAATCGAGGCGCGACCTCAGCTGATGGGGCATGATCTGGTCTCACGCGTGTTCTCAACACTGCCCGCGCGGTTACACGGACTCATACAACAGATCAGACCGGTTCCGACGCTGCGAAGAAACAAAAGACAGAAATAATAACCGGTCGCATATCATCTTAACGCATAATGATGGGCACTGGGATTGACGCCTTATGCGGAGTACCAAGAAAGCCAAGTGCTGATCGGCGAACAGCTTCTTGGACGTTACACCGGCGACGTTGGCGATAGGACCTCTTGGCGACTGCATGATGGGATGGTGAGCATCAGGAAGGTAGATTTACGCGAATTCACACTACGTTCAGATGATGAGACCAGGCCGCCAAGACAATTACTAACGCAGGTGGCCTGCAGTAGTTCACCAGGTCAACCTTTCGTCAGATATGCTGTGGAATGAGCGTCCCGAAGGCTTAAGCTTCTTGATGAATCTCCAACATGGCTAAAACAATTTGATGGAGATGGATATAACACTGTTTGCAAGGGCCTTCAGACCACGCTACTGCAGGAGAAGTCCGTGGCCGGCCGAATCACGTTTGAGGGGGAAGTTTAATAGACTACCCTCCACATGCCGCGGGGCGAGCGGCAGCGCGGAAGATGGAGAAGATGGAGCCCCGACGGGATGCTGAGGCAGGTGGACTTAACAATCGAAGGTGGGCTTATTTGGTTGCTTTCGGCCTCGTTCTCGCTGCTCACTGCTGACCAGAATGGGCATCTTTTGGCTAGCTTTCCGCCAGACTCTGGGTTGACCCATGTCAGCCGATCACCCCGCCGGTGAACTCGAGACTCGGCAAACTCTGTTTGGGATGGAAGTTGGCGGCCAGACTAGCGAATGATCCCGCCATCTTCGATGCATACTTTGCGGCACGTCTACTGGTCG